ATCTTTTTTTTATATTAAATTTTTTTTATAATCATTAAATCATATTTAATATATAAATTATTTACATATTTCATTTTTTTAGGGCCCTTTTGCATTATTTAATTTTTCCGACAATTTTTTTGCGCCTAGTGCTTATCCAAACTCACCAGAACTTCCTGGATGGACTGGATTAAAATTTAGTGATAATGGACTAAAAATTTTAATCAATACGTCAGGAGATGTTCACTATGTTATGGATGCTTTTAATGGACAATTACTTAGAAGATTAGTAGGTCACGTTGGCCATAATGATTCATCTAGTGTATCAACCGGAGAAGTAGCTTGTTTTGCACCTGATAGTTGTTATGTATTTTCTGGTAAATAAATATTTATAATAGATAAATAGATGTATATTCGTAAATATATTATGTTTGTTATACACATTCATATATATATGCATATTAAATTGAATATTTGATATTAGGATCTCAAGATGGGTCAATTCATGTCTGGGATATCGAAACACCTGTTAAACGATCAGATAGGATTTCAGGTGGTTTGGATTTAAAATCTATGCATGTTATTGATCATCATGTTCGGCCAACTCAAGTTGTAAGATTTAATCCAAAAAGATTAATGTTAGCAAGTGGATGTAAAGATTTGGTAATTAATGCTTTTATATATTCCCTTGTATTATATGAACTTTTTTGCAGTTTTGAACTGATTGCATATTAGGAAAGATTATATATTTTTATTATATAAAATCAAAAAATTTTTTTAGTTTAGTATAAAAGTCTACTTCACTCCAATAAAGTTACAATTATTGGATTAATATAATAGATTTATTTTAAAGCTATACTAATATATTAATTGTATTTTTTTTAGATTTTTTGGTTACCTGCAGTAAATCTTGGGGAAGGGGATGATGATGACGACAATGAAGAAGAAGAAGATACAACTAATTCATTTAATTGTTCTTCTGATAGAATGGAAATTTCTGAATAAATGGTTTTTTTTTTCTATTTTGTATATATAGTTGTTTCTAGAGCTTTAAATGGTGATAGGATTTCTTTGTTTTATCAATTTAGAAAATTTTAGTTATAAATTTTATATATTTTGACGCAAGTAGTTTTTCCCTATTTCCAATAAAATTTCAAGTGTCTTGATATAAATGGCTACTTCATTAAATCTCCCCGACTAGGAGAGACCCCTATTGGACTTTTTCATTATTGAGAGTGTGTTGAAGAAGTGTTGTCCAGTATACGTTAATGGTTTGTATAGGTGTATAAAGTGGAATGAAAAGTTGAGAGCAATTTTGATTACCCAGCAATAGGAATAGCAGTTACTGAATGAGGAGGGTCCCGAGGCTTCTGCTAGTGTTTAATTACTCACCATCCATTGCCTTTAAGTTGTGCCATTAAAAATATGTCTTGTTCTGATTTAGAAAGAGCTTAAAAGGATTCACGTAATTCTGCAAACTTTCTTGGGGGAATTTGGCTGGACAACCACAATCTACTTTCAAAAATCAATTGCCTTTTGCTTTAAGTTGGGCCGTCAAAAATATGTCTTGTTCTGAATTAGAGAGAGTTTGAAAGGATTCTCTTAATTCTGCGAATTCTTCCTTGGAAATTCTTGAAGAGCAACCACAACCTTTTTCTAAAAAATCAATTGCCTTTTCATATTAGAACCATTATATTTATCATTACTTTTCAACACACATTGATTTATATTATTAATAGATTAAGTTAAAAGTATGAATAAACATTGGTTATCAACCATTACGCAATGATCTGGTGTCGATTAATGCATTTATCAGCATAAATCGACACTTTCAAAATTTCCTGATGAAGTATTGTATATATTTTTAAAAATATTGATAGAATGCGTTGATACAATGTGTATCCTGCGATATCACCTTTTCTCCAACAAACTGAGATCTAGTCAACATAACAAAAAAGCAGACAGTTTAAAGGCAAATTTTTAATAAAATCTTATTAATATAAATGTTATGCAGAAATGTTTTATTTAAATGGTTTTTTTCTGATAATATATATATTTGAAAATTAAAATATCAAAAATTCTCTTTTAACAATGTTGCCACATGGCCTATTAAAGTTGAAAATAAGTATTGAAATCATATTTAATTCAAAAATTTTATATAATTATTAATCATCTTTGTTGGTTTGATTTAGTTGATGAAAGGCGGTGGTGCGATTTACGCAAAAGATTCCGTGCAGCTGGTGAAAGTAAAGTTGCTCGAATTCTAGGACTTGAAATTTTACTAATTTTGAAAAAAACAACAATTAAAAAATAAATTGACTGATTTCCTTTTTTTATTCTCGAAATATAATAGAAAATGCAAATGTTAAAAAAACACATACTTTGAAAATGGGCTTTGCGTTATTGATGTTATTCTTGGAGATTTCAATGACAAATTACGTTTTCTCATATTTCTTGAGGCATTACTAGAAAGTTCCATTCCAATTATTTCTCTGCGAGAAGTAGGTGGCAAATGAAAAGCAGGTCCTTATAAATACAAATAATTTAATTTAATAACACAATGATAACAACAAATACCAGAATCGTGTATATATTAATTAATTAAAGAGGATATCAATTATACCTGGTGTTTGATCTCCACCAATTAACAAAGGTGTTCCTTCAACCATACCCCAAGTCATTAGTTCTGAACTATCGATCTGTGAAGGATTTGGCGATGGTGTTGCAGGAACAAAACTGTAACCTCCAACTCTAGGTGTTTGTGATGCACTTCTTACTACCATTATTGATTATTGACAATTAATATTAATAAAAATAAAATAATTACAACGAATTAAAAATATTTACAATGTATATAAATTATAACATACTTGAAGAATCTAAGTTGAGTCCACCACCAGCAGCGGCAGCAGCTATAGCGGCAGCATGATTATTTATTGACTATTATTTATTTTTTTTAAAAAAAGGAATTTGGTTATAAAATGATTAATATTTATGACTTCAATTATCAAAAGGAAAATAAAATAAATACCATTTCTTCAGCAGATTCGAATCTTGTCGCATCATGAACAATTTTTTTTGGAGGTGCTCTTGAATGGTCTTCAATATTTTGAGTTTGATGACCTTCTGGATAAAACATTAATGAATTACGAACCTTAAATAATTAAAATGGATAGATAAATATAAATAAATCGATCATTGGCTATAATCAAATTTACATTCATAATAACTGATATATATAATATTACTTTATATTTCCAAGTAGAAATTTCAGCAGGTTTCTCTTGATTTGATCCTTCTATCAACTTTATGCTATCATTACTATTGTTTTCAATGGATAATTGCTCTTTTTCATATAACCATTTATATTTTTGCTTTCTTTGTTCATTAGCTTTATGCATTAGTTCTGAAAAGGTAGGGGAACTTTGGTCAAGGATTTAATTAGTGGCGACAATAACGATGATTGTAAATAGATGATAAATCATATATAAAATTAATTAATCAATCGATAGAAGAAATAAAAGGATATGAAGCATTGTCCTCGCTAGTATATTTTGTTTGAAAAGAATCTAAAGACATGTTTGTATCATAATTTTTCTCCAAGGATTCGTGAGCCTTAAATAAATTTGTTGATCTACTGGTTGTAGATGCTGGTGTGTCCCATTCTCCAATTTGTCTGGATGTTAAAGGAGTTTCTGATGGTGGTATTCTTGGAGTTGCAACTAAATAATTATTAAATAAATGGATGAATGAATAAGTGAATTTATATTTTCTATTATATATGTAGAAAACACATCATATAATGAAAACAGTACAATGTTATCTACCAGGTGTCTTATTAGCTGGTGTTGTCAAATTGTTTAATTTAATTGTAGCTTCTCGAATAACATCAGGATCATTTGTACCCAAAGCATCGACATAATCATTCTGAGCTTCCAAAGTTATAAGAGAGGGGAAAAAATCTCTTTTAATAATTTCACTAATTGCCTCGGTATAAGAATCTTCATCTAATATAACTTGTTTAGGTTGAGATGTTTGTGTAGTTGGTGTAGTAACAGTTTGATCGGTAGTAATTTTAATTAAATCTTTTGGAGTTGTTTGATCCATTATTATAATTAATTTTATTGTTAAATTTGGCGAAGTGAACCAATAATTTCAGTGGTAGCAGTGTAATAAAATTTGACTGTGCCACATACAAATTTGTTAATGAAATGTTTTCAAAATAATAATTGTAATTATCTCTTTATTTGTGAAAAATTGCTTTATAAAAAGCTCCAGGGATTATGAAACTATATTATTAATATTCAGAAGAATATATTAATCCCAACAGTTATTTCTAGGGTTCGTATAGTTCGTATAAAAAAAATGCAAGGGTGTGCATTTCACCTAGCCAATTAAAACATTGATTTCACGTGACTGGAAATTAATTATGTCATGGGGAAATTTCAGGGATTAAAAATGAAAATATTCTGGTTTTCAAAGTCTTACTATTACCAATTCCCAGCATAAGTTTCTTGACAAAGAGATGTGTTATGATCCCGTGATGGGAAGCTCTTTTGTTAGATTTGGTTTTCTTTTTAAGGCGTCTGCTAATGCTTATTGATCCACCATCCATTGCCTTAAGTTGAGCCATTAAAATATGTTCAGGCTTGAAGGATTCACGTAATTCTACAAATTCGTTCTTGGGAACCATTGATGAACAGCCACAATCACAACCTTTTTCTAAAAAAATCAATGCATTTATCAGAACCATGGTATTTAATTTTCATTTTTGTCAATTTATTATACATCAGCTTATCACTTTTAGATTAAAAATTCCGTATAACATCCCAAAGAACATGCCATTTATTTTAGGAGGATATGTAATTCTTGTTTTGTCATAGACAAAATTGAAATCAAATGTTTATTATTAATACTTGTACTAAGTTATTAAGTTTATGTATTACAGATAATAAACAAACAGAAAAGGGAATCCAACTTGAAACATTAGTATTTTAATAGCAATTTATAACATAATATGACTACTTCAAAAAATAAATTTATTAAAAAATAGAAATGATATTTTTAGTTATATAAAAAAATATTTAATCGTAAAGTTTGCTATTATTATTACTATTATTAAAAATTAACGCCAAATGATTTCTTGATCTTATTTTTCATTGATTCCCACTGCTTAGACATTGCCTGAGGTTTTTTTAATAGACCCAATTCGTAAAGTTCATCGGTGTTTATTCGTTTTCTAAGGCAATGCTTTAATAAAATGGATATATCTTCATTGGTCCACACCCTTGAACTTGTACAATGATGGATATCTGATTCAATTAGATCATCACTTTGTTGGTCCTGATCTTGTTGTGATGAACTACTTCTTTGAATAGTAGTAGTAACTTTCGCCACTTCTTCTCCCTTTTCCACTTCTTCTCCCTTTTCCACTTCTTCACCCTTTTCCACTTCTTCACCCTTTTCCACTTCTTCTCTCTTTTCCACTTCTTCTCTCTTTCCCATTTCTTCATCATAATTTTCCTTGAAAATAATTTTTAAAAAAATTAGATTATGATATAGCAAACTTTTGTTACCAAAATAAAATAATGAAATACCTTATATATTTGTTGAAGTATTTTAAAAAGTTCTTCTGGTTTTTCATTAACCAAATCATTACCATCATCGCCATCACTATTTTTAGTCTTTAATTTTTTTTCATTGCTAGTATTAGAATAAATGAAAATAAATTAATACTTTTATAGAAAAGCTCATTAATCTCTATATGATAACAATACTTACCCATGTTTATTCTCTTCTCGTTCTCTCTTTCTTCCTTGTGGGTTCATCTTAATGGAGCGTTGCGAGGTAGTTTTTTGGTCAATATCGATGATTTTGCGTTTATTCCCGAGCTCGAGTTAACTTTTACTACACTCGTCGATTAATTGCAAGCTTTTATGTTCAATACTCGTCAATTAATTTATTTTACAAGTTTATTTAGCAATTGTCCTGCTCACTGCCTCTTTTTTGTACCTAGAAAGCTTTGGCGAATCTGTAAGCACACTTTATGATACAATTAACAATAAATAAATGTAGCTATTTTATAAGACGGCAAATGCTTTTCTAAAGCTCCTTCTTTATTTAATTTTATTTTTCGACACGATATGTGATAACGACTTTAGTTAATAAATGTCGGCACTTTATGTCTAGGATAACTGACAACAACGGTTAACACCTTATACTTTGTCAAAGAACTTTTACACTTTACGTTTACACTCAGACACTTAAACCCTTTTACAAAAGCTTAAACAAAAAACCAAACTTTGCTTTCTAATTAAAACTAATAACCAAAACAGAATTACAAAACCTAAGAGTTCTATACCACTTTAATTTCCGACCACAAAAGCGTTACATTAAATGAAAAAGAACTAATTTACAGAATGAATTATTTGTGAATATTAATTTTCGTCTCTACTATTATGAGAAAGGTTCTGAAATATTAATATTAATATTGATAGTTAATATCAATTATTTGTTAGTTAATTAATTGATTGAATTCTTTCGACTTGGTCAAAACAATTGGGTATTTATAACAATTTTTATAAAAGATCAACATACATTTTGTTTAAATCAGAAATCCAGAATAATAATTTTTAAAAATTTTAAAAATTAATAAATGAAAAATGATATTAATATTAAAATTAATAAATGAAAAATGATATTAATATTAAAATTAATAAATGAAAAATGATATTTATTAAAATTAATAAATAAAAATTCTAATATTAATAATAAAAAATAATTTTCTCTGAATTGTACATTTTTTTTTTGGAATAGAAACATTTACGAAACACTTTTATCTTTTTATTGTGCTATTTTTTAAAACAATATTAAAATAATAATTAATACAACGTTGTATATATATCGGTAGTAATATATTGATAGTAGCAGCAATATAAACTAGAAAAAAAATTTGTACATTTTTTTTTTGGAATAGAAACATTTACGAAACAATTTTATCTTTTTATTGTGCTTTTTTTAAAACAATATTAAAATAATAATTAATGCAACGTTGTATATAGATTACCTTTTAATGGTAGTAATTGATAATCGCGATGGCGACGACAATAATAATGACAATAACAATAATAATAATAGAAATAGCAATAATAATAACGGCTATGATTATGGTGTGGTAGTGGTAATCGTAGCGGTAGTGGTGATGGTGGTCGTAATATAGATATTGATCTATATCCTCTAGATATTTAATATTTGATAATAATAATAGAAAATAAAAAATATCTTGCTTAATTTATTAATCTTTTATTATACTATAATATAAATATATAAACGTGCTATTATTTAGTATCACTGTAAAAAATTTATTCTGTGATTTGACAGCTTTGAGTTAATCACCAGTTCATGTTCTGTTTGAATTTCTGAACAGAATTTGTAATTAACTTGAAAGTAATGTACAGTATTAAGACTAGACTAGAAATTTTTTTTATCTTACTACAAGCTGGTTTGCATGCTTTCTAAAAAATTAAATCAATGATTTAAAAAAAAGGATAATAGTAGTCACATAAATAATATAATAATAATAACTAATGTAACGATTCTTTCTAATCGTACACCACCAGATCTAAAAAAAGTAATTAATACTTAATAGTATAATTGTTGTTACAGGAATATATCAACTAGAATTTTTGATGCTACCTATTTTCTTGATAAATAAAATATGGTCACATAACAATCCTTTCTGATTTCGTTTAACCATTAGCCTTTGGAAAAAGAAATCATGTAAATACCTTTTAATTTAATTATTACATTCCTAAATATATATATAAAAAAGATTAATTAAATAAATATTTAAAAAAAACATATTACCATATACTTGGGTTTTGTTGTGCGTGAAAATGAAATCTATGTGAATTTTCAATTCCAAAATTTTAATTATAAATTTCGATTTCACATACAAAAGGTTTTACAAACTCTTTTTTTTGTGAATCTCTCTAAAACTAATTAACAACACTAGATGAGATTTACAAGCTTGGAAAGCGAGTTTTATAAAAATATATATACTTGATGAATGTTTTATCTAGTTGTATGGTGGACGGGTTTGATTATTTATTTGAAAATGCCATTTAAGTATTTAAAATTCAAAAAAAAAAACGCAATAGTTCTTTACCAATTACCATATATTTTGTAACTTGATCGAATTGAGTGATATTAGATTCAAAAGAAAGCCTGAATTCTATTGCACGTCATCTTCAAAACTTATTTATAGTTAATATGTAGTGATGTTATTGAATATCGACCTTAAATCGCAATTCGTCGACGCATTTTAATAATATTATTAAATACCTCTACATTTCTCTTCGTTTTTGATAATTTGTATATTATTGTTATTATCTAATTATTTTAATCGTTATTATTTATTTATGTAGAAATAAAATGTAAAAGAAAAGTTTTTAAACGTATAAATACTCATAACAATATAATTATTTACATTTATTTCTACTTATACTTGCAATTGGACGCGTCAAACAAAATTTTATAATAATAAAATTTTACTATTACTATTAGTCGTGTGACATGAAACTTTTTCGTTATTTTTTATTTTATAATAAACTCAAACTTCGTTGTTGGAGTAAAATGAAATTACTCCATTAAAGCTTTCTAATGAATATCTTTTCGTACTGGAAGGTCTTCTCTAGATTGATTCACGGCTATTCAAAGACGGCATTACTTTTTCACTTCAAAGCTCAGATTATTTCTCAATATCGCTTTAAAAGACTTGACAGTAAAAGAGAAGGTGTAAAATACTTTAAGCTTTCATATGGCCATTACTTTATGGGGTATTGGTTAATAAAGTTTTAGAAAGGTCAACGAAAAACTATTTTATAGAAATTTAATAGTCACGAATTTTATGTAGATGGGATTCAGCAAAAACTAAAAGGTATTTTATTAGTGATTGTTTTATATTGATTAAATTTTCATTAATGATTATTAATTATTATTTTATTTATATATAAATAAATAGTAAATAATGTATAAATTGTTTGTTTTATCAATTATTCAATAGTTTGAGCAGGAGTGATCGAAGTAAGCGTTAGGGACAAGATCTATGAACAAAATATACTAACAAACGTTTTATCAATCATTCAATAGTTGTATAGGAGTGATCGAATTAAGCGTTAGGGACAAGATCTATGAAGCTTGCAAAGCAAGCTTTACAAAAATGAACGTTTATCAATTATTCAATAGTTTGTGTGGGATCGAAGTGTTAAGGACAAGATTTATAAAGTTTGCAAAATATACTGACGAACGTTTTATCAATCATTCAATAGTTATATTTATTGTATATAAATTTCTCTTATTTTAACTTATATTTAATAATATCGCTATGATAAATAATTAAATAAATAAAGTCTAAGATAAAACACCTTTTAATTTAATCATTATTGTTGCTTGTTTATTATTCTAATCATTATTTATGTATATAGGTAAAGAAAAATTTTAATACTGTATCTACAGTATTTATTTATTATATTTGCTTTTAAATAAACGATTTTGTTATAAAAGACATACCAAAGTGATCAATAATCTGTAAATATTCATAATAATGTAATATTTGGACATTTATTTCTACCTATACTTGCGTCAAACAAAATGAATATAAAGGCAAAATTTGACTTTGAGAGTCAGATTATTTTCGGTTTATTAACAACCTGCTTTAAAAATTTTCATAAAGCAGATAGATACATAGGATAAAGAAGTTATATCTCAAACTTGGTGGTGGTTACTACACAGCAAGGGTATCAAACGAGGGTGTGAAGACTATGATGCAGATCATCCAAATTTTAATATTAACTAAATTTCTTTCCCTGGAAGGGAGATCGTCGCAAAGTTTAGCCAATGAAATCAAATGTCCACTATGCTTGCTCCTGCTGGTAGCAGCTGTAACACAAATAATAACAATTTAGGCTTCTCATGCGGGAGTAGCAATCAACAACAAAAAGAGTTATAAATAAATGTTTCAAGTGCTTCGCCGACGGTCATTTCGCAGAAAAATGCCAGGAACAAAGGAAAAGAAATGCACATCTTCAAAGAAGGTTACATAAAAGCATGGAATTATATGGAGTGAGCTGGTCTCGGTTGTCTATTCTGGTTTAGAAAAATTTAAAGATTTTTATTTAAATTTTACAACATCTGGAGACTTGGATGGCGTGTCATAATAGAAAACTTAATGGAATTCAGGAAGCCTTGGGTGGCGATGTTAAAAATATAATTTTTTTTTATCATTTAATCATTTAATGACGTTTTGGAGAATTGATTGCTGGGATAAATTATGTATTAGTAATTATATAACTAACTAGTATTGTTGCTCTATTGATGTATAAAAAATAGTCTTGGATTTTTTTTAAAAAATTTGTAATATTCTTGGAATAAATTGATTCATTTGAAAGCAAAACTTTCATCATTCATTGGGGGGTGTCATACAAGTAGATCAACAAATCTAATTAATATCATTATGATAAATTAATATGTACGGTTTTTTTAA